CCGGAGACGACAGCACCTCTGGCGAGATAAGGGCCTAACAGTTTGAGAACCTAATTTGTCTAAATTCTATAAACCTGACTTACGGACCCCAAATTGTTAGAGTTTGGAACAGTAATTTTAAATTAGGTTGTTATTGTGATCGCTGTCGTTATTTTCGAGGAAATTGGCATTTTATTGGCCTTAAGGTGCTTAAACAAGATTCAAATCTTTAATATAAGAAAAGTGCCTTAATTTATGATGCAGGGTAGAACCCTATAGACACAAGTGCATGATTGAACTTAGTGTGACTAGGTTTGGACCAGCTAATTCTGCACAAATTTACCTTGGTATGCTGTATAACGCTGTGACCCGTTCACGGTTACTAGTACTGTATACACGTCGCAAAATTTGGGGAAATGACATTAATTAAAAGTTATGAAATTCATGATAGGCTAAGATATACTCGATTAAAAGGTAGTAAAAAATAGGTTAAGGTTTGTTTCATGTTTGAAATTAACTACAATCCTTGAACAAATGGTGAAATATCTGTTTTTCAGGCAGTCACGTGGCAGTGCAGAACATGTGTTAACATTACTGTATTGCCAAAAACGTCAGTAGATTGTGGATTATGCCAGCAACGGCTAACCTTACGCAATGGTACAGTATTGTTTGTTTGTAAGTTATCATTTGTCTGCATCTGTCAGTAGCAAGTCCTTAAAATGAATCGACAACAGCCGGGAGAAATAAAAATAATAATACTGAAATTCTGTAAGTAACTAGCCTCGTAATGTTATTGTACGATATTAGGTTTTATGTGCATATTAAAAGTTAACCATACAAATTATGCCATACCGAGCATACTATTTGTATAGTCTAATGTTACTTGGTCATCTCTTGGTTATATAATTCTGCAGATCTCAGTTTAACAAAAGCGAGGGACGTCCTAAAAACTGGTAAAATTGCGAATAAGGAGAGGTTTGGGATAGACTGGACAAAATGTAAACATCAGATGCTGGATTAACACAATTAAAAAAAAAATCACACACAATGGTTAGTACTACAGTTTCTATACTTTCCACACCACCGCCAATCTCACTTTGAAATTTAAACACCGTTAACTTCCGCACTACAAGAAAAACGCGCTTCCTCTCCGGAAGTTCGATTAAAACTGACGACGTTACCAGCACGGTGACGCGTGAGACTCCGTGAGTGGCGTGACCGCTCGCTTGTGCCAGGAAGTCCAGAAGTCCGTAATATTTTTTTTTCTTTTTGCCTTTTATTTAAAATTTTACAGTTTACATATCCAGAGATACTACATAACTACATATTAATATATTTGTCTGAAATATGTGGATGTTTTTTAATATACATCCCATCATTTATTAGAAGATATCTTACCTTTAATAAAGGCTATAGTCTCATCAACATTGTAATTTTCCTTTCTACTAATTCCCATACAGTAAAAATAATCTGACATTAGCAAGATCACTATTTTTATCCCCATTATTATTACTTGTACATTAATATTTTCAGGAAAGGCGGAGGGTAGGGGAACTTGGGGAGTGGGAGGCGTGGTAGCCTACAGTATAGTGCGTTTTTTCTCCTGAGAAAAGATACCCTGCCCCCCTTCTCAAGAATTTCAGCTGATTGGCGGTTTCAAACCCGTTCGCTTTCGTCCTTAAGTAATGATGTATTTCTAAACGAGTATTCATAATCGTTGGGATGACCGTTTCTGACAAGAAAGATATTTAGTAAATTATATAAAGATACGGTCTAGGGTAGCCATTACCAAATTTCAAGGTGGAAATTTTTTCTATTCTTTGCGACACCTATTTTTTAACCTAAATTAAGTATGTTTAATGATGAGTTGAAAATATATAAAAGGTTGTATAAAAAATACAAAATATACTTAGAAGAATTGTTGATTTGTCAAATATCACTAAAATGTGATGAATGCTATTTTGTGGTAATTTTTCTTCTTTTTTTTGGGGGGGGGAACGCATTATATATTACATACTTGCATTCATAGAGTATAAATAAAGAACTGAAAGAAATTAATTATCATTTTTATTCGTGCTGAAACAGCATATACTAACAAAATTGAAGCAAGAACAAAAAATTCAACCACTCTCTATTGGGCCTTGGGCAGACTGACCATCTCGGACGTGTTGACAACTAAACTAGAAGTGTACACTGCGGCTCATCAGCAGTATTGACAACGGCAACTATATATAATAAAAATACGTTGAAGGTTATTATGGCCTTCAGTTCCCGCTGTTTTAAGTATACCTAAGATAATTTATATAATTATTTTTAGTTAGACAACAAAAAGGAGGACGAATTAACGTCAGGCTCGAGGTAGCGCCGGATGGAGGACAGTGCTCAGAAGCCGGACGTCTGGCCACCCTACCTACATTTATTATTTCAAACATAAGTACGTAGTTTATCAGAAGTATAATACATGAATTAACTGTTAAACGCTGTTGAGAATTTACGCTTTCGGAGGATGCATTTAATATATGCTGATTTTTACCAACAAAAGGCATACTAAGACAAATTACATATCACATACTCCATTATACAAAAACTAACATTTTAAAAGATTAGAATCACATTCAAATATTTACACGGCCATTAGCAAAGGTGAAAAATATGAAGTTGTTCGCAGTCGTATTTCACAACATCAACCTAGAGAAGTCGACTTGTGAAAGAGACTAAGGGGTACTTGTAAGCCCAGACCTACGGCCTAGAAAACAGTGCGTTAATGTTCGAAATAAGGCAAACAGATTACTAGGTTTTATATCTAGAAGTGTAAGTAATAAAGAGTGTGGAGGTCATATTGCAACTATATCTTGCGCTAGTCAGGCCGCACCTCGATTATGCTGTTCAGTTTTAGTGCCCTTATTATAGTATGGAATCAATTCACTGGAGTCGGTGGAGCGAAGAATGACAAAATAATTCCGGGACTTAGAAACCTTCCATAACAAGATAGATTAAAGAAACAAAACTTGGATTCCCTAGAAAGACGAAGAGTGCGGGAAGATAGGATAGAAGTATTTAAGTGGGTGAAAGGAATCAATAAAGGGGATATAGATAAAGTTCTTATAATATCCAAGCAGGATAGGACTCGTAGCAACAGATTTAAGTTGGATAAGTTTAGGTTTAGGAGGGAGATAGGAAGGAACTGATTCACAAATAGGGTGGTAGACGATTGGAACAAGCTTAGCAACTTTGTATTAAGTGCTGGGACGCTGGAAAGTTTTAAAAGGAGGCTAGATAGATCCATGGGTGATAAGAGTGGTAGTAACTCGCGACAGGAGCTGCCATGCACAGGCCAACCGGCCTATTGCAGACTCTTGTTTTCTATGTTCTTATGCATGTGTCCTATGTAATTTCATCGTATGTGAAATGGTAAAACTTGTCTAAATGTCCATTCCCGCCAGACGAAAGTTCTCAGATTCTTCCATCAAAATGACGGTGTGACAAAAACCAAAACAAATTCATTATTACGTGCCTCTGGGCGTCACTCACGGTACGTACTATACAGTACATCAGGCAGCCACACAGAGAAGTGTCAAGACAGGACTGTTGACTTTATTTTTACAAACACCTGCTAGCTTAAGTAACACCCCCTCAACCTTACATAATCTTTCAAACCAAATTTACTCACTAAACACAAGAAACTGCCACAATAACTTAAATATACTCATTGATGCGACATTACGCTGCAGCAAAGTTGTATGAGAATTTTGTTCAATAAGTTGGTTTATATAAACAGCTAGTGATAAAAAGGCTGCAGGCGAGATTCTCCACTTCACCCGGAGGTGAATGTAAATGGCAGCGGCGCCTGACAGCAAAGGAGTGAACGAACCACCTGATACAACCAATCATAATCCCGCACCAACCGATACAGCCACTAATAAACCAGCTAAAATAACTCGCACCTCTTCCTCCGGGTGGCGGAAATAACCTCAAGTACGAAGGTGGTGACGGCGAGAAAACCCCTTGTTGCCATGATACATAATGACCTCCACTCCCTATAACAACCATCTCGTTACGACATTGAGCCTTAAGGTAAACGATTTATTGAAAGAAATTTATTTTCTTAAATTTTACCTCGGTTTCAAATCCTTTCAGATAATAAAAAGTAGTCAGTGGTAAATTATGAAAAAAAAAAACTGTACACCTACACACACACACACATCACTATCCAACCAGGAGCGAACGCGTAACAATGGTTTTAAATTAGACAAATTTAGATTTAGGCGCGAAATAGGCAAATATTGGTTTGGAAATAGAGTAGAGGTCGAGTGGAACAAGTTACCAAATTGCTTCAAACTTAGGTTGGACGGATATGTGAGCAATAGGAGTTGGGTGTAAATGGGACTGCCCAGTATGGGCCAATAGGCCCGCTGCAGTTTCCTACATTATGATGTTCTTATGTACACCAACACACATCACAACATCTCTCCACTATACACCAACACATCACTACAACTCTCCACTATACACATCACTACACCTCTCCACTATACACCAACTCACATCACTACACCTCTCCAGTTCAGTTAGGTTAGGTTAGGTTAAATTGGGTTAGGTGTGGTTAAGTTAAGTTAGGTTAGGTTTTCAATGTTTTCTTTGGTCATTGTATCCGACAGTAAAGATTTTTTTTCGACAGGTTTAGAAATGTAACCTAATTACACTAACTTGTTTTTTCTACATTCCAATCTTCAACCACAGGTAAGGCTGAGGTGGAGAGTCTTCAGGTATTATGTTTCACCTTTTTATTATTATATTTAGACCATAATTAACCAACTGTGTTCATCATAATAGCGGCTGATCCAGGGCGGCGCAATTTTTTTTTTTACCTGACTTGACAAATGACATTGGCGGTCTTGTCAGCGGTGAACTTGATAGACCAGCATGCCAGTTCCTACATCAATCTTAACGGGGAACTTTAATATGTACTGATCAATGGTACGTTATAGTTAGTACAATGAAGACAGCGTTTGTGTACTCACCCTTCTTGTTCCTGGCGCCCACCTTCAGGAATTTCGGATATTTGATCTCCGTCTTCGTCTCCTCCATGACCTGTCGACAAAAACAATCAGATAAAATGGCTAACAATAACCTAAGAAAATAACAATAACTTAAAACTGTACACAAACACAAGTGATAAAATTAATTACAACTTCTAAAAACAATAAGAAAATAAAAATAACACTCAAAACAAGGACACATTAGATAAAGATAACAACATTAACATTTAGAACAAAGAACAATAACACACATAAGACAGCACACCAGGTGAACACACAATAACACTGAAGAACACCTACACACATCACTACACCTCCCCCACTATACACTACACCTGCCCACTGTACGCCACACCTCCCACCAACAGTATACACCACACATCACTACACCTCCCCACTGTACACCCACACAAGGTAAATATTGCCTCTGATTCATAAAAATTTTTTTTAATGAATCACAGAGGCAATATTTTCCTTACGATCAACCAAAAACCTGATCCGATTAACATTCGGTGTAAAGCTAAGACTAAGAATCACGGTCTGGTAAACATAACTCTCATGGTTAAAACTAAGAAACTATTGCCTGTAATGTGTAAAAAAAATAGAAAGATAAAAAGAACACAGTGAACCAACACAAAACACCTACGTTATTGAGACCGATTAACCCAGTGTAGCTAAATGCTTTCCAGAGGTCAGGTTCGTACGTGGCAGGGTCGTTTAGGTGAGGCTTGCACTTGGCAGGGTCGTCCTTCAGAGGGTGGTATGTGGCAAAGTCATGTGTATCAAGGTAGTTTTTGACTCTATCCATTTTTAAATCATGCAGCCGCTGAGGCTCATTTGTGAAGTAGCTAAGGCTGGGGAACTTGACGTTAGTGGGTTCCCTCAAATTGGCGCTGTCCTCTGTTTTCAAACTGCTGCTGGTGTTCACTCTGGAGTGGCAGAACCTTGAGGCAGAAGTAGCGCCACTGGCTTTGGCATTATCACTTCCACTCCCTGCCATCATCATCTCACTTCTCTCCATCACGTTCCTGATGTAACAAAGCTGTGGTCTTTTCCGTTCCAGAGTGATGCTGGTGGAGCACTGCAGGTGTAGAACACGAGTACGACCTGGATACTATGGAGACCAGGTTATCCCCCTTACACCCCCTCTCCCCCCAATGTCCTTCCGTCTTGCCTAACCACTTCAATGTCATTTTCCATCAGTTATCCATAAATCCAGTTCATACATAAAAAAATACACACCCTGGGCGAGTATGTTAAGTAACATTAATACGAAACGTTTATGATACTTAAACATTAAATAATAACAATACAAATAATAATACCAATAGACACTTCTGTTTAGGGTATCATCAACCAATCCAAGTCGAACACGGAGACAACTAACCAATGACATGTCACCTTGGTTAGCAGCTCTCTGATTGGCCTACGCACATGACCACTGCTGGGTAAACATAACATCCTTGGTGTTTTGTTCTATTTAGCCGAACAATAAATATTCTTTATATATATATATATATATATATATATATATATATATATATATATATATATATATATATATATATATATATATATATATATATATATATATATATTTCATGTACAGAGTAGACGGTAATTTCGTGATATTTTTGTTTTAGTTCGCTTTATGAAGTTTTACTCAAGAAGCATTAGGTTAAGCGTGTGTGTGTGTGTGTGTGTGTGTGTGTGTAATAATAATAATAATAATAATTAACGGTTTATTGAAAGAGCTTGGCAGCCAGAAGGCTGAAAATATACAGTTACATATTTGGGGAATGGGTTACGAATTACAAATAATATACAAGTAACATAAGTGACACAAATAAGACATATAATAACTAGATGGGGAAAAGCTCAAACTACAGTTCATTTCAACATAGTGACAGTGTAAGGAGCAGTGTTTACTGGGAGTGAATACACTGATTTATTACAAGTTATTGATAATTTTACAATGGTTGGGACTGGGCTGTTCTTATAGCGATCAGTTCGTGCACGTATGGGCTGGATGCGGTTGTGGTGTCGAACAGCAATTCTCGGACAAGGGATCTCAGGTGGTAGTAGGAGCCGGTGTCGGGGATGGTGTAGAAGCTTCTTACCAAATTTGCAGATGAGGTCGTGGTGATGGTCAGTGAGAGTCGAAAGGGTCAGTGTGTTGAGCGCTTCTTGATATGAGGAGTAGGAAGGGGAGAGAATAATCTTGCATGCCCTCTTTTGCACTTTTTCTAGGTGTTTACGTTGTGTGGCATTTAGGGAGGAAGACCAGGTGGGGGAGGCATAGGTGAGCTTGGGAAGTATGAATGTTGTGTAAACACTGAGGAGCTCGTGTGCAGGAACTCCGAGGGACTTGAGTCGGCGGAGGAGGTGGAGACGGAAACTGGAGGATTTGATAACTTCACTGACGTGTGGTTTCCAATTTACTGTAGTTTGTTGTCTATGGTGACGCCGAGGAGTTTCGTGGAATCTACAACCTGGAGTGTGTTCGGACCTAGAGTAATGGAAGGAGGTGGGACAATGTCGGAGGAGAGGTTGATGTGCATAATTGTGTTGAGAGGTTGATGTGTGTGTGTGTGTGTGTGTGTGTGTCAGTTTTAACCCAGATACTTAACCTAACCTACTTTAAAACTAGTAATATAGACACAAATCACATGAAGAATAGCACATACCGACTCCACACCATAACGTTAGGTTAGCGATAGCATTACAGTGTTTAACTGTCAAATGCAATAAGCTAGGGGCGCTAATCTTCAGGTGACATTACAACAGAGGAAACCGCATCAAACACGATGCTGTAATTTACAAATATACGAATAGTTTTACTTACAAATCCGAACCCAGTTACATAAAATACAGCAATGGAAAATACGTTTAGGTTTTTACTAATTTTGAGAAAATAAATGAAAATATAAGAACGTTGGTGATAAGCTGCATACGTTTTTGTTCCCCGAGGGGGCTAGTTTATTGGGCACCCCCTTGACATCCTGTGCAAGGTGAAGCGCAAAAGCGTTTACAGCGCCCATTTGCGAAGCATGCGTAGTTCATGCTTGACCTTCATAACTCCTGCATTACGGGCGTAAAAGCCCGTTACATAAAGCGACAGAATGATGAATGTGGGGGGAAAATCCTGTACCGCCACGCCTTTGCCGATCAGTGACAGCTATGTGTCAAATGAGGTCGTGACATTATCATGCTGGGCCTGCTTTTCTTGAATAATAATAATAATAATAATAATAATAATAATAATAATAATAATAATAATAATAATAATAATAATAGAATAACCAACAATAACAACACCAGCAATAATAATAATACTAATAATAACAATACCTACGTTAATAACCAAACTAAACGCGTCCGGTTAGGTTAAGATGTTATTTTTAAGGCGCTGGTGTGTATGACGCGGGCGGTGTTTGTACATGGCGTTGAAGGCGACTGGTGGTAAAACTGAGGGGGTGAAAGGGGGGATGGGGGTGAAAGGGGGGATGGGGGTGTTAGGGGTGGATGACAAGGTGCCGGCGGAGGAGATGGCGAGCGAGTGAGAGTTGCCACAACACAAGTCTTATCTCTTCAGACGTCCAACCAGTGACAAGTGTCCTCACCACCACAACGCTCCACCACCACCTACCACAACCCCCCCTCCCCATCACCTATTATAATATCTTAGTTGTTTTCGGTTGGTTGGTTGGTTGGTGATACCGAGAGAAGAAAGCATCAGCTCTGAGGGTGCAAGAAGGGTACAATACAAGGCAAAGTTCAGAAGTGGGAAATATAGGAGTTGTTTTCATGTTTTTATTGAATATATAAAATCACACCGAGGTCCTCCCTGGAGAGAGAATAAAGATATATAGAGGAAAAAATTATAATTAAGTACCAGATTTTCGCAGAAGCAAGTGTAGCAGTTTGAAAAGGCAGCTGGGGGGGGAAGGGGGCTCGGGTTTTGGTGTAAATACTGACTGACCTGCTCGCCCCATCCAGGAGTGTTGCCGAGTACCATACCAATTTAAATAACGAGTTACTTAATGAACAAAAGATGAATACGAAATACTAAGATCAAGTAACATGACCCCAAATGGATGAATAATTATAAGAACAAGATGACGCTTACCTCCAAATTTATTTTAATGAATAATCTTGAAGGATATGTAATACAAAATATAAATTAAGTTGGAGTGACGAAGAGTAGTGACAACCCCTACATGTACCAAACTAAAATTCGTGGTAATATTGGCGCAGCTAACAGATAACAGGAGGGAAATGAACCATATTTTGAATAGATATTTTTCATAACACTTAACGAGTGAAAGTTAAACCTGACACCCGAGGCAGCTACTCTACAGCGACATGTTTACTGAATATCCTTCTCTTAATAATCTTCACCACAGTTATTGCAGTGGGTTATATAAGGTCGTAAGTAACTGTAAACACACACAAAAACATACGATGGGAGAAAACTGCTCAAATATCCATCCAACCTATGTTTGAAGCTATCAGCGTATTCGAGTTAATGATGATGTTTGGTAACTTGTTCCACTCATCCACTATATTTCGCGCCTAAATCTAAATTTATCTAATTTAAAACCATTGTTACGAGTTCGCTCCTGGTTGGATAGTACCTTTATTATATCATTTGTTTAGCCCTGACTTCCATGTATACACCTCTATCAGGTCGCCCCTCACTCTACGTCTCTCGAGGGAGTGCAAATTAAGATGCTTTAATCTGTCTCTGTACTCTCGATTCCTAATGCCCGGGATTAGTCTTGTCATTATCCTCTGAATTCTTTCTATGATTCTATATCCATTCTGTGGTACGGTGACCAGAATTGAACTGTGTAATCCAAGTGAGGTCAGACGCACCCTCATACACACACATCCCCTCGTACACACACACACACACACACACAGGTACACCACGTGATGCCCCTCATAACACCATCTGTGAGGGAGTTACTACACCACGTGAGGCCCCTCATAACACCATCTATGAGGGAACTACTACACCACGTGAGGCCCCTCATAACACCATCTGTGAGGGAATTACTACACCACATCAGGTCCCTCCTAACACCATCTATGAGGGAACTACTACACCACGTGAGGCCCCTCATAACACCATCTGTGAGGGAGTTACTACACCACGTGAGGCCCCTCATAACACCATCTATGAGGGAACTACTACACCACGTGAGGCCCCTCATAACACCATCTGTGAGGGAATTACTACACCACATCAGGTCCCTCCTAACACCATCTGGGAGAGAGTTACTACACTACGTGTTTGCTGTTCAACACCTACATTAATCTGAATGTTCACTGTATGTTCCTTTACCTTTCTCTAATGAAGGCTTTTGTTAAACCACCAATGTATGTAATAAGTCATTTATGTCCAATGTATATTTTCAGCCTTCGGGCTGCAGAACTTTTTCAATAAACCGTTAATCATCATCATCATCATCATACACACACACACACACACACACACACACACACACAGAGCCCAGTCCCAACCATTGTAAAAATTATCAATAACCAGTGTATTCACTCCCAGTAAACACTACTCCTTGCACTGTCACTATGTTGAAATGAACTGTAGTTTGAGCTTTTCCCCATCTAGTTATTATATGTCTTATTTGTGTCACTTATGTTACTTGTATATTATTTGTAATTCGTAACCCATTCCCCAAATATGTAACTGTATATTTTCAGCCTTCTGGCTGCCAAGCTCTTTCAATAAACCGTTAATTATTATTATTATTATTATTATTATTATTATTATTATTATTATTACACACTTGGCAGTAGAGGGACTCACCGCGTGGAAGAAGTCATCAGCAGAGAGGACATGACCGTCTCGTCCTATCGGCAACTTCATGATTTCAAGATCACACGGGTCTGGCGGACAACCTGTAGTGGTGACAATAAACATGGGTTAGTTCATACTGTTATTATCATTTGTATATTTATAACTCTCTCTCTCTCTCTCTCTCTCTCTCTCTCTCAAGGAAATATGTTTAGGAGAGGTGAAGGAGGAACCGAGAAGTGAATATAAACCTTACCACTACTACTTCGACTGCATATTTTATTTCTTTAAATGGCCTCCAGCCTCCCCCTATAGCCATACCTTCGCCACCATTTTATTACCTTAGTATTAAATATCCTAATGCATAAGTAGCTATCCTAGCTGTGTTGGGTTCGTTGAGCCGCAGATCTATCCTCATAGTCAATATCTGCAACTGTTGTCGGTTTTGGGGCCGATGCTCTCGTTCCCCTGAAGGAGAGCTTATTACTACTACTACCACAACTACAACTACACCAGATTAAGGCGCGAAATAGGTAAACAAGTTACCAAATATCATCATTAACTCAAATACGCTGGATAGCTTCAAACATAGGTTGGACGGATATATGAACAATAGGGGTTGGGTGTAAATGGGATTACCCAGTATGGGCCAATAGGCCCGCTGCAGTTTTCTACAACCTCATGTTCTTATGTAGAAATGGAAGTACAATGCTAAAACACACGGTATAGCAAGCAAAACATTGACTCTAGGAAGGTGAGAGAGTGGGTGGGTCTCTCTCTCCACCCACCCACCCACAGGCTTATTATTATTATTTCATTTACGTAACCAAGATTCAATGCTGGGAGGGAGCCTGTTATAACATGCACAGGGATAACCATTGCCAGGAGGAGGGGGGGAGAGGGTGGCATCATTGCGCACTCATTCTTGGAACTGGTGACGGGAGAGAGAGAGAGAGAGAGACTAGGAAGAGAGGGGGGAGAGATAAATTCTCAGGTAATCCAAAATATTTACACCTCTTATCACCGACATTATTTAATTAAGACTCAAACTACGCCGCACTTAGCAACCTGTACACACCCTAAAAATAAATTCTCACCATCTATTAACGTTAAAAATTTTCCCCGAAACTAAAGATGTGAGAATGCATCAGATGACCTAATTTCACCCCACGCTACAATGAAGGTTTCTGGCAGGTTAAGTAAGTTTGGAATTTTTTTTTCCAGGAAGGCGAGGAAGATGTGAGAATGCATCATATTGGTTTGTATAAGTCGTAAAAGGATTAAAATAAGTTTGTGTGGGTAAGGTTTAAAAGAGAGAGAGAGAGAGAGAGAGAGAGAGAGAGAGAGAGTGTGTGTGTGTGTGTGTGAGGGGGAGGGGTGGTAGAATATTGACAGTATGTTATGAAAGGGTTATTTACAAGTATAGTATAATACTATCACAATCACCACTATCACGGCCAAAATCACCACTATTACAACAACTACCACCATCACAACCCCTACCACCATTACAATCTCTACCACCGTCACAACCACCACCACCACCTCCACCTCACCTCTACTACACATCTCGATATTTCTGTTATCCTTATCTAAAAATCTATGCGTTTTTACTAACCTGCCTGTTAATTAATTATCAGTCCACCTACCACGTCACTTATTTATCTATCACTATATATCTGTATTTATCATTATGTCAAGTTTTATTTATTAATTAATCTCTCTCCATGTATTTCGCTGCCATGCATTTATCTCCCGTAAATTTCCTTCCAAATACTAAAAATATACTTCAATAAATGCCCCTCTTCCTTCCTTTCTTCTATCAGTACACACCTTGGTTCACCTGAATATTAGTCCCCCAGTTCATTTCACCTGATTGTTAAACACCCTATTGACCTACTGTAACCTAGCCTAACACCATAACCTAACCCAATCAGAGAGAGAGAGAGAGAGAGAGATGCACACACACAGCAAAGGACAAACAAGTGAGCATATAAAACGGTATTGACAGCTAAAGATAAGAGGTATCAAGAAGTCACGTGGTGGAGGTCTCCGTCAACTCTGGCAAGACAACAGACCATAAAGGAAGATAATACTTAAAACAAATTTGTCACTTTCAAAATGTTTTGTTTCGATCACCTTAAAAAATAACGTATGTAGTAAAAAAAAATAGCGCAGGAAATATTGGCGTAGCTAAACTTGAACAATATGGCACAAATCCCTGAACAAAAACCCTCCCCCTAGTACATGGAAAATACTGTATCATAAGGCCTTAATATAGAAAGTAATTTTCGCATTTTAAGTATTATAAAGTAGTACATTAACATTATAAATATTAAAGTATTATACAAGACAACAGATGAACACAAACATAACGAGTATTATTAAAAGATCATGCCGCATCTAGCCAAAGATTACATACAAATAAACAAAAAAATGTCTAGGGTAGGTTAGTTTCGATTCCAAGGCGGCGCCGAAACTACTGACCAGAATGGCATAAGTCAAATCAGGTCAGGATGTCCACCCCAAGTAATGTCAGAGAGGATAAACTTCAGGTGAGGTCAGATCAAATGTATGTTGGGGGCCACGTGACCTTAATCTGACCTTACATGACCCAAAGAGACCTAAATGATACGTATGAAACTTTACTTCAGTATTGTGTATTTTCCGGTATTTATTTTTTAACCTAACCTACTTATAAAAATTTAAACAAAAAGAACCGTTAACAATACCACACATATATAACTACTCGCGTCTGAGTCTATTGACCTTAAGAAACATTAATAAAGCTCATGGTACTATGTTTTCCTAGTTTGACAGTTGTGCCTTTTAATCATGCGCTATTTTCCGAGTCCTATATAAAAGATGTAACTTTTTTTCCAAGCCAATATTGTCTTCTTTTTTTTCGTTACCGAGATTATCACACGGCGGGAAAAAAACCAACATAAAGCTCTTGTTTACTCTAGTTGCGTCGGGTATGGAGTAACGCTTTCTATCTATAAATGGTCAACTACAATACTACTAAACACTCACACACATGTAATGACATTTTAAACTTTTCATTTTCATTATTCTACATAATATATACATTTAAGATAACCTTTTAAGTAGTATCACCGTTATACATTCAAACCATCATACTGTTATACACAATTACAGTACTAAGTGGTAGGAATGTGATAAGTTAGACTACGCCACATCACACCATCTTACAATAATACGGGAATTGACATTGGATGATAAGCTCGATTCGTGCACACACACATTTCCCCTGACGGCCGCGTGAACTAGAACACCCACCACACATGTTACCTCATAAACATTACAAATACGTAACTATATATACAAGGATAGACGCTACAGTAGCAACAATACCTTCTTAATGGCGGGTCAAAAGAACCTCACTCCTATAGTTGTTTAAACGTATGACCCCAGACAATACTGCCAGGACCTGCGCTACCAACACTACAGTGGAAGGTACCTAACCACTGTAGTGTTGGCCCCAGCAGCTAGATAAATTGGAGTGATAACAGTGAGTTTATACCACGGGTTCACTCCTCTCCCGATTGTTCAAGATAAGATTATTTACTTTCCTCAACAGAAGGTCATGTGAGCGGCTGTTAACATCAGCAGGTGCAAACTCGGTCCAGGTCGTTGTCACAAGGATGTGTGAACGTTGCACCACCATAGATAGATTTACTTTTAATTTACAACCGCGATAATGTTAAACGGGCATTTCCGGAGTTCAGTACAGTTTACAGTAACTGGGAAGGGGCGCTTAAAATTGTTGATACATTTCCCCTCTTAGTCAGTTAAAGTGCAACAGTATGGCAGTATTACCCAAGTGTCTCGCTAAAAATATATCCTGTATACAAGTAAACTAGTAATTTTTTGAGGAAAGCAACTTGACATTTTGCTACCAATAAACTTTAATACGAGATAAACAGACGCAAACTGTTGGGTAAACGCGGCGTTCATTAACCCAACGACTAACACTACAGGAGAGAGATTCATCCTTAATTAATAAGACTTTAATTTACTTCACCAGAGTCACAAGTGAAACAAAAGTCATTAAATCCCTGTGAACTTACATCCCGCCACAGCTGGCAACAAGACAAATTCACCAGACATACTTAAACACACAAAGTCGCTGCCACTTACACATACAAAAATTATCTTTCCTTGTGTCACCCAGGAAACACATACAAACGGTTGGAACTGTGTATATTTTGAGTTTGTAAGAGCAAGACTAAACAGACAATAAGTGTAAAAAAAAAAGATATATCCGAAACTGAATAAAATATCAAATTAGAAAGAGCAGCTCAGGCCTTAAGATTTGATTTACAGCTAGGCTACGGTCGCCGAAGTCCACCCGTCCCAACAACACGAGATAAATGCGTTTATCTTGGATACCAGCCAATTAGCGACCAAGAACGATTCTGGGTTGTTGGAGATCAATAATAATAATACAAGGGCCTGTGTAACTAGCTATACCCTGACTATTTAACTGAAGAACTCGTGTACAGTATAATGCGTAAAATGTATACAACAGGTGATATCGCCGACTCACTTCTCAACCTCACCAATTGAACTTTAATGTTTTAGTATATTTCTAGTCAGTAATTTCTAGTCCACGGTCTGATTTTGTTTAAGAAAAAAAAATAATGAGAAGTGTGGGATGAGATTAAGTACAGTTTCCTTAAGTTATATTTCATTAAAAGTTACACAAGAGATCTGTTGTTATAGTTGTTGTTGTTGTTATAGTTGTGTTGTTGTTTACTGCGGCGATATTTTTCTTATCGTATGGTTATATCTGTAACCCAAAACCACACATGGAACATTACCAATTTAACATAATTAGCATAAACATGGCATAAATCTTGTGAGAGTGGGGTACCCGCCAACACAAACTCATCCTATAAATAACATGTAACTTATCCACTGTGTCATTTATACTTATCAATTTTAACTATTAATAACATCAATTTTTTAGGGGTTATATTTTCCACTAATCACCTACATTAAAATTTATATTATTTTGCCTATTATTAGCTGCAAATTTAACATTAATACACAATTAAGTTATAGTTTAACTATATTTTTT